TTCATACTGATGTTTGGGGCCCATATGCTATCCCTTCCATGGGTGGATATAAATAATTCATACTCTTCATTGATGATTATAGTCGGAATACATGGCTTTACTTTATGAAGAGTCGGGATGAGGTTCTTATGATTGTTAAAAATTTCATGAATATACAGTTTGAAAAAAGAGTTAAGATAATAAAATCTGACAATGCCAAGGAATACATTGAAAACCATTTGTGTGGGTTTCATGAAAGTTGAAGAATTATTTATCAAAGTTCATACAGTCATACACTACAACAAAATGGGATTGTCGAAAGGAAGAACATGCATAGGGTTGAAGTTGTTCGAGGTTTACTATTTCAAATTCATGTTCCCACCCGGTTTTGGGGTGATGTTGTTGAGACAGTTGTGTATCTCATTAATAAGTTTTCCATTAAGGGTCCTTAACCTTTTAGTCTCTTCATCAACTTCTCTTCCCTAATGAGCCCTTCTTTAGTTTATTCCTCAAGATCTTCAGTTGTATTTGTTTTGTTCATGATATGAGTCCTATCTAACATAAATGATCCTAAATCAATTAAATATGTTTTCCTTAGTTACTCTTTAATCCTGAAAGGCTATAGATTTTTTTATCCTCTCTCTAGCAACATATATGTTTCTAAGGATGTTAATTATTTAGAATCCTCTTTGTTCTAATCATACCATCATTCTCTTCAGGGAGAGAATGCAAGTGAAGATTTGACACCTTGTTGTCTTCCTATTCTTGTCATTGTTTCTCCTTCTCCTCCCTCTCTTCTATGTAACGATGGTATTCTTTTTTCTCCTCCTCTTGTATATCGGCCTCGGTTTTAGCAACAATTTTTCATTAGGCGCAATAAGAAGGTAGCTCTTGAAGCTGAATGCCCATCACAATTAGATCTTCCAAACTCAAGTACTCTTGAACCACTTAATAATTTTGTTATTGATCATGATTTTGATCTTCCTATTATCATTCGAAAGGAAAGAGGATATGCAGCAAATATCATTTTACTAGCTATGTGTTGATGTTCTTTCACCTTCATATTGTGCCTATATTTTTGCAATTTCTTTTGTTTTCATCATTCACGGTGTTGCAGAGGCAATGCATTTCCCTCGCAGGAAGGAAACTTTGAACCAAGAGATGGAGGCCCTAATAAAAAATCAGACTTAAGAGACTTTCCTTGTCCTAGGAATAAGATTCCTATCAGATGTAAGTGGGTTTACACTATTAAGCACAATGCAAATGTCTCAATACAATGTTCAACTTGTGGCCAAAGGATACACTTAGGCTTAGGGCATTGATTATATAAAAACTTTTGCTCCAATTGCTAAAGTGAACTCTATTCATGTGATCATGTCTCTTGTTGCCTATTATTCTTAGCATTTATATCAAATGGATGTAAAGAATGTCTTCCTTAAAGGGGATTGCAAGAAGAAATTTATATGGACTTACCACCTAGGGTAAGCTTTCATAATAATGAAGGAAAAGTTTGTCGCTTAAAGAAGTCATTCTATGGGCTCAAGAAATCCCTTAGAGCCTTTTTTTGACAAATTTAAAAATGCTATTTTAAATATTGGGTTTTCTCAATCTCAAGTAGATCACACCTTATTCATAAGAAGGGTTAATGGTAGAGTAACAATGTTAATAGTATATGTTGATGACATTATTATGACTAGCAATGACATCACAGGTATCTTTTAGTTAAAATCCTTTCTTGCTTCAGAATTTTAAATAAGGAACCTTGGTGATCTCAATTAATTTATTGGCACTGGAATTGCAAGATCCAGGAAGGTAATTATTTTCTTTTTTTTTTTGTCACAAATGAAGTATGTTCTTGACTTGTTCCATGAAGTTGAGAAGTTAGGGTGTAAGCCTGCAAAAACTCCAATTGATTCCAACCACAAGTTGAGTGCGGAAGTTGGGGTCTAAGTCTGTAAAAACTCTAATTGATCCCAACCACAAGTTGAATGCTACTAAAAGAGAAGTTCTTCTAAACAAAGGGATATATCAGAGATTGGTGGATTGTCTCCTATATCTTTGTTTTAACTCTGATGTTGTTTGAGTGGTTAACCAATATATGTATGAACCTAGAATATCTCATATGCAAGTAGTCAATAGAATTTTAGTTTATCTGAAAGGATGCCTTAGTAAATGAATATTATACTCCAATCATGTCCATCTAAAGATTGAGGCTTACACAAATGTTAAATAGACAAGGCCCATTGGTGATAGAAAAATCACATTTGGTTATTGTACCTTAGTTGGAGGAAATATGATTTCTTAGAGAATTAAGAAACAATCTATTGTTACTCATTCCATTGCTAAGATAGATTACTGGGCGATGGCTTATGGAATGTTTGAACCTTTGGTTGAAGACCTTATTAACTGAGATGGACATCCAAGCAAATACTCCAATGAGATTGTATTGTGACAATCAAGCACCCATAAATATTGTTCACAATCTTGTTCAACATGATCGTATAAAGCATATTGAAGTGAATAGACAATTTATTCGAGAATGGATTGTTAGCGGAGAGATTTGCCTTCTATTTGTAAGATTGGAAAACTAACTAGCTGATTGCCTCACTAAGGGTGTTCACCATCCAAAGTTCGCCAAAAATTATCATGCTAGAAATGATTGACCTATATGCTCAACTTAAGGGGGAGTGTTGAGAAACTTGGACAAGGGTGTTTTAGTCTTTTCATCATCTTTTGTATTTGGGCGCCAAGTATGGGCTTTCTTGTAATTCTTCTTCAAATTATAAATAACATTTTTGAGGGTGTAAACAATAATAACACACACTCCTCTCTTCACAACATCCTTCTTTTCTTCCTCTCCTACTTCTTGTCTCTTCTCTTCTTTTACAAACCCTTGAACAACAACTTAACTAAAAATCATTTGCAAAGAAGGTAAATTTATCAATGCAAAACTAAACCAACTTACCAACTTTGCATTTGCATGGACCATAATGCACTCTACATATTTGTGTTTGCACTCTTCCTTGGACTTGGAGCCTTGTACATTTTGTAAAACGCATATTTAGCCTAAAATATAAAGCAAAACCACAAAGTAGTCCACAATGGCTCCACGCTTTTTGTTGCACAAATATTTTTGCTTTGAGTGTTTTTGCTCCCAAAAAGTCAAAAACACACATCATTAAACACTATAGCTTTTTTTTTTGCTTCCTTAATACAAAAATACTAAGAAAAAAACTTATTCAAACATAACCTAACCCGCACTAGCATCATTCAAAACACTACAGTATAAAATAATAAAGGTAAATAGACCTATTCACCAACCACATATTCCCAGAAGATCCAACCTTGGGAAGGTTATGAGCCACCGAATTAGCTTCACGAGGGATCTAAGAAAACATGATGAGTTGGCTTTCCAAACTCAGATCCAGTATGCAAATGGATTTGAGACCCAAAAGACCAGAAAAATTTCTAGAAAACAGCAATGGAGAAAACCGCATGGGGGATCACCATACAGACACAAAATCGATTGAGGAATCGTCATTTGTCCACTAGTTCTTCCTACCAAGGTTTAAAGTATTGTTACGTATCAGCCTATATCGGTCAATACGTATCATTTTGGGACCCTTCCGATACACCCCTACAGTAGGTGTATTGGGGGTTTGACCGGTTCAAGGGATGGAGGGGTCCTAGACCGGTTCCCCTGAACCACTTTTGAAAAAAAAATAAAAAAACAAATATCAAAACGCCCGATACACCCCTACCAACGTATTGGATGTATCGATATTTTGAACCTTGCTCCCTACCGCCGCCGCTGCAAGTCTCTTGCACAAATGGAGATGGGGTTTGGTTTTCGTCATTTCGAAATTTTTTGGGAACAGTTTTGTCCCACCAAAATGAAATTAATACTTATTTTATAAACACTTAAAATAAGCAGCCCTGAGCCAGCTTATTTTTTAAGCACTTATTTTCAAAAGATGTACTTATTACTCTTGTCTTTTTTGTCAAACATGAATAAGTACTTATTTGCAACGGTCCCACCCCTTATTTTAAATATTTTTTGAAAAATATTTAAAATAAGTGATATCAAACAGCCACTTAATTGTTCAGATGTGGTAAATTTATTTTTAAGAGAAACATGAAAATGATATAAAGAAAAATAGAAAAGAAAAGAGAATTTAACAAAATATAAATACCACCAAATTTTTCTTGAAATTTCACTCTGAATCACAATTCCCCTAGAATTGAAGCGAAAACTTCAGTTCAAACCAGGTAAAAACCATGCCCATCTACTAAAAAAGAAAGAAAGAAAAAGATCAAAACGAAAACCGATACTTAAATCCTGTATTCGCATCCTCATTTTACTATGAAATTGGCTTCTTAGTAAGGCAGTGTTCCCTCGTAAGTACTGAAATGAGTAAGATTAATACTCAAATACGTCAAGCTCCAAAATCATGGACGCTTAACTCTCATTTTACAATGTCCCAGAAGTTCTGTTACAATCTAAACAAGCTTCATCTCAAAAATATTACAGCCATCTAATTACTGGATCACCCAAACTCTCAATGTCCTCAACTCCAAAAGTGAAGTTGAACATCAGAATTCTTATTATTTTCAGCAATTCAGCTACTAACAATCCAGTGAAAATGAGCAAAAATCACAGGAATTGGATAGTCTTTAAAACATGCATGATAGATGGAGCACAAGTATGTACAGAGTCTAAAACATATATAGTGTGGGTTCAATACAACGCTCCAGACTTCACTAAAGATTTTAGAATTTCAAAGTACTTATCAACTCAAAATGTTTTAATTTTGCTCACAAATAACCTCATAGAAGGGAAAAAATTGGTCATAGTCAAATGTTGGATTGGAGAAAATCATGGGGAACCAAATGCCAAGGAAATACAACCCATTCTACTGAAATGTTATTATTATAACAACCATAACTGTCTATGCTTTTAGGAAAAATACAGAAAATTTCTCCACAAAATGAAAAATACAGAAATTACAACCAAAAAGTTGAGTAACCTCAGCTCGCCTCAATATAGAAGCTCCTCAAAAACAGGATCGACACATTGACCCCACCTCCCATGGTATAATTCCAAAAGCTTCTCAGCTGGTGTTACACCTGCCATAAAACAAGCATCCCTCCATCACATTTAAGGAAAAGGGATCATTAAAGGAGATATAGAACTTTAAAAAAAGTGACCAGAGTAGTTAATATGGATGGAGTGTGCCTCTGTTATCCCATTTCCCATTTTCAGGCAAGGGTGGAGGAAAGGGGCATCTAGATCTATTATATCAAACCATTGGATCGACTTATAGATTTACAAACTTGAATAAGTTCCAGTACCCAGTCTCAGGTGATATGCCCTAAAGCTTAATTTGCATATGGCAAGGACATCAAAGCTCTGAACATTTTAACAGGAGAAGTTCATCTTTAAGTCTTGCACAGCACAATCAACCATAGAAAACAGGTTATATATATAAACATAGAAAACAGGTACTTTGAACAGTCAAAAGAATTTACATTTATTTTGGTAAACCAACAAAATGCTAAAAAAGTAAGTTTTCAACTAAAAAGATTAAACATGGTTACGAAGAATCAGGTTAGGGCATGAAGAAATTAAGAACCAATTTTTATATAAATTAATAAGATTACTCCCAATTCATAGAATGGGAAGATTAGACATGCGTAACACCTATAGATGTAAAACTTAGGCAATTGCAGCACAATCTTTATTCATGGGAACAACTAGGTTTCGAGTTGTGCCCTGCCCAGAAGATCACAGTTCGATTCTAGCTGACTATGGCTTCAACATTGGCTGCAAAACACAGGTCTATTCTATCACCACCCTTAGCACAAATAAGTTTAGTGAAATTTATTTTATGGTGAGTTTACCAGCTATTATTGTATAGATACAAACAAATGTATCAGCGACTCAGGGTAAAAAGCAATAGGCCAGTATTACTAGAATATAATAACAACAAAAATGGAAAAAAAAATAAAGATTTAACCCAATAGTAATATAATCCACTGTTGGTGAACACATATGCTCTCTGTGCTCAAGGCATCTTGAACATTTCATGGAACTTGAGACTTGAAACTTAAAAAGAAAAACATGCCAAGCTCCAAATCAATTACCTGTGYTAACTACCTCAGCCACTTCCTTCAAGAACCCTGTTTCTTTGTAGCCTCTTCTTTCCAGGCCATCCTACAGAAGATCAAATGAATATCATACATTTGAATGTATCTCATAAAATTTTCAAGGACAAAACTGTTCTCCTAGTTACCTTGGCCAACTTTAGGACATCTTCYGCAACATGCCTTAGCAAACCATCTCGAAATGGTGTCTTAAGACCAGTCTTTGGTACCGACTTGCAATAATTTCTCGAATTAAATCCCTCCTAKGAACACCTTAAAAAATGATGTGGGATATAAGTCTCAACTTAAGAAACCAAATGATAAGCTAGTCATTTCATAAGCCATAAAAGGGATGATTAACTGTTTCTACACTAAGCACAGTGAGACTGAATATAATCCTTGAATATAAAAAGAAAATTCAGGCACCACAAATATCAGCATGAGAAACCTCCTATTTAGATAAATCAACCCTGTCTTTTCAGGTTATAGCTCCCATCCAAACTTAGTTTTGAAGAGCAGCTAGATTAAAATTTTTGGTTGAGATATATTAAAAAGTTGCCAAGTTTTTCCTTTGTTTGTGAACAGCCCTGGTTGCAGAGAGAACAAACCTGTAGACAGAGAGAGAGAGAGAGAGAGAGAGAGAGAGAGAGAGAGCAGTCCAATAGAGAAGAAAGGAGACTGGCAATTGAGGAAAATAGAATCGTCTCCCAAATGGCCAGAATTTACTTGGTCCATCTCAGCTCAAATCACAATAATAACCCCTTTTAGTAAATAAAAGATAAACTGACAAATCTACATCTACTTAAGTTATAAATATAAATGAAAGAATGAAAAAACAGTCCGGCCACTCCTAACGCTCCCCCTCAAGCTGGGGTGTGTATTTCTATAATTCCATCTTGGTCTATTTGGGAAGAAAGAAATAACAGAATCTTTCAAGGGAGTGAAATATCCAAGGAACAAGTGATTGACAGCATAACTATTAAGATTATACATTGGCTGAAAACACATGAGTTATTCCGAGACTACTCGATTGAGGACATTCTTAGAGGCTGGTCTGTAGTGGCAATTCTTCAACCATAAAGAATGTTATTCAGCAGCAAGGGGCCCTTTCAGCACAATGAAGAGTCAAGTTGAATTTTGATGGAAGCTCCTTGAGTAACCCGGGTCCCTCTGGAGTTGGGGGATCTTTTAGAGATGGTGAGGGTAGACTCATTACACTATTTTCTGGACCAATAGGTATGGGTGACTCGCTAGGAGCTGAGGTATTGGCTTTACTTCAAGGCCTGAGGCTGGCTAAGCAATGGGGACTGCAAAACATTAAGGTTGAAGGAAATTCTAAGTTGCTAGTAGGCTGGACGCAAACAAACCGCCAGGGGTTTGGAATTATAGACAGCAAATGAGGGAAATTTTCTGCTTAGCAAGGGAAGTGGGGGCAATCTTCAAATGGTTCAGGAGGTCAGCCAATAGTCTAGCTGACACTTTGGCAAAGCAGGGAACCCATAGGAACATTCTTTTTTGGGCTGTGTTGTAGTCATTGAGCTAAACTAAGTGGTCAACACTCTTTATGGGTGATTGACAATTGTACACCTTAATCTTATGTTTTAATGAAAGTTTACTGTTTAACATACATATACATATATATATATATAATCCCGTGATAAGCTCAGCTTGCATAATGCTTTAGTGAATTAGTCAACAAGTTGATCTTCTTAACTTGATAATTGATATAATGAGTACGTATCCACATTATGTGTTTCATCCTCTCACCAAAAAATTTTGTATACTATGTAATAATATACTATTATATTCTTAACTTTTTGAGATTGTAATTATAAAATAGACATTATTAACCAAAAAAATCATTATTTTTGTGTTTATATACTAATTTCTTTTTATTACTTTCTTATTTGTTAGGGTTTAACCAACACAGACATTGATAACTGCTGTATTGAACCCCCAAAAGACTTCAAAACCTGAACCAATAAGGAAGAACTTTAAATTTTGTCTAATGAACACATTTTTTTCTTCCACCTTTTCTTTTCTTCTTTTCCTATAACAAAAATAGGGGTTCAGCCTCTATATTTTTTGAATTTTCTTTTCTTTTTCCTTTTCTTCTCATGAATATGTTGATTTTCTAGATTTCAACATTAAGTTTATACTTTTCTTATGAAAATTATGGATGGTTATTAAGGAAATATGGTTATGGAACCGAGGAACTACCCTAGGATATATGTTTTGACTTAAAAAAATCCATCGCCTTGGTGCCTTGAAAACTATGATTTGATGCTATATGTATGGCTGCTTGATTATCACAATAGGTATGCATTGGTGATGAAACTGGGAATCCTATCTCTTGGTGTAGATGTTTCACCCACATTAGCTCACATATAGTGTGACTCATTGCCTGATACTCAAAATTAGTGTAACATTTTTTTGATAGGTAATGGTAACTTTCTTTAAATTTGGATAATACGTAAAAGATACACAGGTCAACCCCTTAAACTAGGGATTCCAACCCCCCAAAAGATTTACTATTACAATTCAGCCCAGAATAATTCTCCCCTGTTTGCCCCTTGTTTGGCTAAACAGTTAGTCATACCATTTGCTGAACTTCCAACCTATCTAACCAGCAGGTCCAGAGCACCAATCTTTCTTGAAAGGCTTGCAATCTCCCTCATGCTCTGTCTGAGTCCAAATCCCCATAGTACCTGTTTGCAGCCACCCTATCATCATTTTCAAGTCCCCCTCCACTTCAATTTGTTGAATACCCAACTGTTTTACCAGTCTCAGCCCGGAGCTAATACTTCAGCACTTAGGACTTAGGAGTTGCCCAATCCTATTGGCTCAGAGTACAATGTCATTATCCTTCCCTCTAAATCTCTTATCAGGCCACCTATGCCCAAATGACCTGGATTGCTAGAGTAGCTTCCATCAAAGTTTAGATTATATCTTTAACTTACTGGAGTCAAATTTCCTGAATCAGTCTTTGAGGATGAAGAATTCACCACTGCAAACCAATTCCTTATAATATCATCAAAAGAGAACTCTTTGTACAGCTCCAAAGTCTTTAACCAATGTGCTAAAAGTAGTGTGACTTGATATTAAGCAATGACTTGGTATGTCTTTTCTTACACCATACCATGCCAATTTTGACCTTTACCTTCTCTTTATAAAGCTCTCAGTCAGCACCCAGTGGCTCCTAGCTAGTGCAATAATTGGTCTTCAACAT